TGCAGGTCCGAGGACCGAGCCCTGGGGGACCCCACTGCCCACATCCCTCCAGGTTGAAAATGACCTGTCCACCACCACTCTCTGGGTGCGGTCCTCCAGCCAGTTAGCGACCCATTTGACTGTGTAGGTGTCGATACCACAGTCCCCTAGTTTTTTAATGAGAACGGGGTGAGAGATAGTGTTGAAGACCTTCCTGAAGTCCAGAAAGACTACATCCACTGCTACCCTACGTCTAGGGATTTTGTGACCTGGTCGTAGAAGGCCACCAGGTTGGTCTGACAGGACCTGCCTCTAATGAACCCATGTTGGTTGCCCCTAAGCATAACCTCCCCTGCGGTCCCTCGTGGACATGCGCCAGGATAACTCTCTCAAAAAGCTTTCCCAGGACTGAGGGAAGACTAACTGGCCTATAGTTTCCTGGGTCCTTCTTCCTTCCTTTTTTGAAAATGGGAACCACATTGGCCCTTTTCCACTCCTCTGGCACCTCACCAGAGCACCACGAGTGCTCGTAGAGCCATGCCAGGGGTCCCGCAATGACCTCTGCTAATTCCCTCAGCACTCTGGGGTGGGTCGTCAGGACCAGCTGATTTAAATACATCCAGTCCCTCCAGAAGTTCCCTGACTAGATCCTCACTGACCCTGGGCCTGGGTGCACCTCCACCGGGACCTGCGGGGGTCCCGGTGGATGGGCTGATTTGGTCCCTGTTGAGGAAAATGGAGGCAAGATGCTAATGCCGGAAAGGCCTGGCAGGGACTGAGGGAATATAGTGGTTGGGAATGAGCCCAGCAGGATGTTGCATTGGGAAGGACCAGCTGCAGGAGACTACATGCCAGCAGACCCTGGAGCATCTTGTTTCTGAGCAGCACTATACCCCGTCAGCAAGACTCTCTCCTCACAAGGACCTGCCCACTGATAACAGAAGATGTGGCAGGGGAGTCAAGGATAGAAATTGGGAGCGAGACAGAAGTTTGACTTCTGTGGTGGCCATATGGACTACACCGCACCTGAAAAAGGGGGCTGGGGTGCGTGGTCAAGCACTCAAATGGATGCTCTCTGTGCAAATGAGGAGTGCCTTCAACTGCTACTGAAACACATGAAGCAACATCCATTTTTTTAAGTATCAATATCTTGCAAGGACCGCAGCCAAGAAGCACAGATGTGGTCAATAAAAACCCAAGTTCCAGCCTGGAAGCAGACAACAGACAGAACTTTTTCCCTCCCATCAGCAACCTGCGTAATTCTTAAAGGGAGAAAAATGAATAAGGACAACACAATATGGTCCACTATTACAGTAAGGGATAATGTACAAGGATTCATGCAATATTTTTACGTGGACTCTCTACTCCTTTGCTGCATAATAGGAAATAAACATTTGCTTAAAATGTGCAGAGACAAAGGAGGGGAAAAAATCTCAGTTTATGCACTAGCAGGTAGCAGGAAGAGCAGTGGAGGCCACGCACACAGCCTTCCAGGATAAGAAGGGCTGACAAGAGTCTGCTTACTGTGATAGTGGACAGTATCATATTATCCTCATTCATTTTTTTTCCTTTAAGAATTATGCAGATTGCTGAAGCGGGAAAAAAGTTGTCTGTTGTCTGCTTCCAGACTGGAACCTGGGTTTTTACTGACCACATTGACAGTATGAACTGAAAGAAAGCTCACCTTTACAGCCTCCTTCATTTGTATAGTCCGTTATCCCAGTCAAAGTGAATGTAAAAGGCAGCAGGCTGTTCTCATCTGACAACCCTAGGTTTTGGAGGGGGCAGCATCATTTACCCATTTGCAGCAGAGGAGGAAATGTCATACAGTGAGCCCCAGTGGTCACCCACCAAAGCAGGGGCAGAGTCAGGAGTGCAACCCAGCCCTCTGCTGTCTAATGCTCCAGCCACTGAGGCCCCTGCCACCTATTACATACATTCTGCAACCAATGGGTGAACCCCGCAATAAATTTAGACTGGTCACCCATGCAAAGTAACGACCATGCCGGAAAAACATCCATCCAACTGTGAAGAGAGCCACCCAGCTACGAAGCAAGGGCTTGAAAATGCGCGACAACTTCGTAGCTGGTTTCTATCCGGCATTCATTTGAATGTGTGGCAGGGCCCCAAATGACACTGCCGCTCCAGGGCACTTGGGGCACAAGCCATGGCATCGTCCCTGAGCTGCCCTGGGGGTGAAAGTCCCAGAAGCCCAGAATGACAGACTCCCAGTGGGGGGGGGCAGGCAGCCCCCAACACCTGGCACTAGAGGAAGGGGAAAAAGACAGGGGCGGGGGAGGAACTCTTAGATCCTCACACACACACACACACACACACACACACACACACACACACATCCAAGACTGCAGCCTGCCCCTTCTCCTTTGCATGCACACACATCCAAGATCAGAGCTTGTTCCTTTGCACACACCCCCAAGATCACAGTCTTCCCCTTCCCCCCTTGCACACACACACACACACACACACACACACACGCAAGAAGAAGAAATGCTGTACATCAGAGAAGCTCACACTGTTTGCCAGAGGTCTTAAGAGGATCTTCTATTTCATTCGGTAGTAATGCCCTTTTTGTTGACAAAAGTAAATTGAGGCCCTGCGGGAGCACGTGGGCGCGGGCCGGCCGTGGGGCTCTTACCGGGTCCGGCCGCCGGCGCGCCGCGCGCCACTGATCCGAGCCCGGCCCAGCCCCGGCACAGGCCCTCCCTTGGCTTAAAGACGCAGCCCCCCGCTCAAGTGCGTCTCAATCAGGGGCTCCGGAGTGCGGCCAAGGTCATAGCACGACAGGAAAGTAGGGCTGGGAGGGACCTCATGAGACCATCCAGTCCAGCCCCCTGCTCAAGGCAGGATCATCCCTGGCTAGGCTATAAGCCATAAGAGACCCCCTAGGGAACTAGTGTGCTGACCATTTGAACAGAGAAGACTGACCATACCCCACTCCCACCTCGGCAGACACTACAGTCCAGGGTCAGCAGACGGGACAAAACAGGCTGATGGAAGAAGACGGCAGAGTTGGGAAAGAGGTGGCAACTATTAAATAAAGATGGGCAGAAAAGGAGATCTTGAAACTCTAGGCAAATACCCAACCAAGTACACACATACTCCAGGCTAGGAAGGGACAAGAGGGTTTTAAACAAAAAACATTTTGGGGGGAATTGGCCTCTGATCCGCTGGCCACCTTCTCCCTGTTGTGCCAGGGGGAGGAGGATGAGGGGCTGTGGAGCTGCTAGCTGCTCTTGGGAGGGAAGGGGCTCAAAGGAACTCCTCTTGTGTGGTTTGAATGGCAAAGGCATTCACACACACAGGTAGGGGTAGCTGCGTGTACATAGATAGGTGATTCTCAGCCAGGGTGGTGGTAGTGCCTGGGGTGCCTTGAGAGCCTTTTAGGGGTGCTCCGGGGTACCACTGCAAGGTATGCAAGCATGCCCCAAGACATAAACCTGGAGATTTCAGGCAGGAATCTAGCAGCAAAAACTGTGATCCATTGTGTTGGTTCCAGGTTCTTTGCAACAGAAGGATTGCTGTTATTTTTCTGTGAAAAATGAGCGAAAACCAAGAACTGGCCTTTACCAAGAGTCTAAGGAGAGATGCCCTGAGTCTAAAAAGGTTGAGAACTACTGATATATGGGTTGCTGCACATACACAGAGGAAATTCTTACAGAATTCTAGGACTGGAAGGGACCTCAAAGGCTATCTAGTCCAAACCCCTGTGCAGATGTAGGATGTGCTGTCCATAAACCATCCCACACATATCCCATGGAGCCACTACCTGAAAAGTTCCTGGAAATTATATTCCTGAGATGTGATCCCCATCTCCTTTGCTGCTCATAATAATACATCAGTTACATTCATAAAGGCATTTTGATGTACCTCTGTTGGTAACACTGATTATTATTGTTGCTCTGTTGGCCTAAATGGTTAGTCAAAATGTGGGGTCTATTCAGGCTACTTTTGGTAAAAGGACATATTTTTCTTCTTCTTCGGCAATCCCTTACAGTCGAAGATGACTGTCTTCCATGACTGTCTTACTGTGTGTCCGAAGATGGCTGATGAGACCCATCCTGGATCAACGGACTTTATTGCAGCTCAGACGTGTGTTTCTGTGTGGGGTGGTTGGTGCTAGATTTTTTATTTGGTCCACAATACGCTGTTTCTGCTGCTCCCACTTCTCCATCTCCTGTTGTCGTTGTGAGGTTTCAAAGTACTGAGATCCCTGCAGCAGACTCTTCCTCTCCTTGGGGCGGTCCTGGGCGATAGTCTCCCATGAGTTGACACTGATGTTGCATTTTTTTAAGTTGGCTTTGAGGACCTTCCCTGAAGCACTTTCTCTGCGCTTCTCTTGAGTGTATACATTGGCTGAGCTGGGATATACCAATCAGAAATGGCTTTGGTGTAATCGTGTTTAGAGACAATGGATATGCACAAAGTAGAACACAGTAGCAGCAAAACACAGCTGGTGGTTTGTGTGTTCAGAAATTCAAGCATGTTCAAGCATGTGCCCAAAAGAAGCTGTGTCCCTGGTTCCTCATAAGGCTGTGTACACAACAGCTTCTCTCGCAATCAGTTGGTTTCCTCTTGGCTCTTGCTCTCTCTCTCCTATGGGCACAGTCAAACTCCTAATCTTCTAACCCCTCTGTTTATAATCAATCCCAGGAGCATCCCTAAAACCACCTAAGTTTACTCAGGCTCTGCCCAGGGGCCTTGTGCCTTTGGTGATGGTCTCCTATTATTTCCTGTTATCATAACATAAATGTATATAACTGTTATTTCCACTTAGCTTGAATGAAGGGTGGCTGGCCTACCAATCAGATTTAGCCAGCTCTGTGACTGATAGCAACCATTAATATCATCTCCTATTATTTACTGCCAAAAAAGGCCCAGCCAGGATCAAAGCTCTGTGGCATTAATAAATGCTGTAATAAATATGTCGTCAAGCATGGTCCGTGCTCTGATGTAATTTAATTCTCTCTTCTAATCAATAAGCCACATGAACGTACTTGTACAGGATGTATAGACTTCAGAGTGGTCTGAATAATCCTATATAACGTGTTGTGACATTGATGTGGTGCAATAGTAGGTAGGGTGAATGTTAGCATCCATCTCTGAGTAGGGATGGAATAACGAGCGCAACAGGAGCAACTAGAACCCAGCCATTTGCTGGATGGTAATAAATATGTGGATGATTTCTGGTGAGTTGGATTGATCGTTCAAGGAAAATGTGTGGTGCTGGGCTGATAAAGACAATGTATTCACATGGGTGGCAGCATTCTGACAGTGTTGAGTAAGGCTGCCTGGCAGAAGCTAAATCACAGTGACTATGGAGAGCTGCAATGTTTTGAACTCTGTGGCTGTGATAAATCATGTGTTTGGTTTCTGTGATAGGAGGCTTGGGTCTCCATCCAGCAGCAAGGGCTCTGCAGACAGAACATCTCTTGGCTTAAGTGGGGTTACGTAGGAATGTAGCTTCCTTCAAGATTTTAGTGTCTAGTTGTTGTTTGGTTTTTTTGAAAGACAGACAGCATCCCTGTAGGCTGTTATTTAGGCTGACTACATGGCTTACATCCCTGAGTGCATCTGCTTTTGAAAGTGGACTTGGAAAAATGCAGTCTGCTGGACATAACATTCAACTTCTGGTATTTATTTAGTTGTAAACAACTCATCTATTGGTCCACTAGCAAATCCTCAGTATACAATGGTAAAAAAATTGCTTCTCTATATCTTAATAATACAAGGCCTGATACTGCAGTCATTGAATTTAGTATCACTAGAATTCCTTTCTATATAAATAAATCAATAAGGCTCCTGGTGGCACAGCTACAGTTAAAGACCATGCTGAGAAGTCAAAAGAGCTGAATTTAAGTTTGTCCTTTTCTAGTTACTATGTAGCCTTGAATGAGAAAACAGACTCACATTTTCACCACTTCGTGGGGGATCTTAATACCCCTCCTTCTATTCTCTCACTTGCTATCTTGATGATTCAAGATGCTTGCTGCTAAAAAAAAGCCCCACAAAACTTGTTCTATTCCAAAAAATGCATATATAAAATTATTACAATCTTCCCAGTGAGACCTTATTAATTCACTGGTCAAAATAATTGTTGCTCTTAGCTTGCAGAGCTAACTCAGTTCAGATAGTGGTGGCTAGAGACTATCCTAGCTTGCATCAGTTGCAGAATTGAGAATTAAATTCCAATAGCAGGGACAAATCACACAAATAGCACGGACGTAATGGTGAGAGCTGACAATAGGATTTTATTGCTGACAATTTATAATCCAGGAAGAAACTCTGATTGCAGCCTGGATTTGTAGGGCTAGCATTTAGAAAAAAATACTTGACTGTATTTTAAATGTGTGAGATATGGGCAAGTTATAGCTAGTTAAAAACAAAATTCCAAGAAAATTATTGAGAAAACAAATGTTTTCTTTTCTTTTCTGTTTCCATTTTTCTATTAAGAATTTTAAAGCTGAAGTCTCTGTGGGGGGAGTGGGTGGTATCTCATTTCAGTAGGCTTAAAAGAAACTATTTCCAATAAAAAAGTAATTGCTATTTTTAAAACCTATTTTAAGACTCCCAAATCCTATTCAGAGAAAATAGTTCTAACTTCTTCAAAACAGTCTCTGCTCAATATTTGGTTTTGAACAGTTTTAATCACAAGAACAGTCATGCAATCTATTGTTTTTTTAAATCAACTACTCTTCAAGCTTATGACTTAAATGGGGGGAAAATGTGACATTGATCAGTACGTCTCTGTTCCTCTGCGTGAAGACTAGGCTTGAGCATTTCAGTACAAGGTATTGGAGTCCAGATATCAAATGCATTGTCCCTGCGACTCTCATTTGGGTCATGACCTGAGGTTGAGAACCACTGCTCTAGGTGGAAAGGAATCAGAAAGCTAGAGATAGTCTAATGTACAGGCCAATTCCACCCCCCTCCCCTTTTTAATTATTTATTAACACAAACACATAACCAGAACAAAACACAGATGTAAAGAACAAGGTAAGAAGCACACATTTTGGGGTACAAGCTGTGTGACTGCCTACTTAAACCAGTGAGGCTCAAGCCGGGTGCTGCAATGCCTTGAGATC